GCGGGGCTGGGTCACGAGTTGCTACCGGACTGAACCTCCGCGCTGCGGGATGCGGCGGGCAGAGGTGAGGGACTGTCGACGGGGCTGCTGAGGTGGCCCGCTCCTGGCGGCTGGCTGAGGGAGGAGGGGATGCTGTTGCCATGGCAATGCACGTGCGCCAACTGGCGACTCTCTTCGCCTCGCGGATGTGCACATACCTTAAATCCTCTGCCTTGGCCACCCTGGCCTCAGACAGTGCCCAGAGGCTGCTGGGCGAGGACCCGCGCGGGACTAACCCACTTTGGCAGCGGTCTTCCCTCCACAACCTGGCTACTCTCAGCTTTCCTGTCCTCCTGCTGTCTTGTCCTCGGGCAGAGGGATTAAGCTCGAGCTGGGGCACTTGGTACAATAGGCCTTTGCTGTTTACCTCCTGGGCTCAGAGTGGACACGGTTGGGGTACAGTGCGGCCACCGCCTCCTGGGAACTGGTAGAGATGCTGTTGCCTGAGGGACCAGGGGTATCCCCCAGAGGGATTTTTTAAAGGCATCCAAGCAGAGCCTTGTGAATAACAAATACTTAGAGAGTGGGGATTGAATGAATGAAGATCACACTGACAGCTTCCCATTCCATGGACTGGCAATGTTCAATAGAAATATAACTCGAGCCACATACTTACTATATACTAACCACATTTAAAAAAAAAAATTAAAAACAGGTCATTAATTTTAATGTATTTTATTTAACCCAATACATCCAAAATATCAATATTAAATATAATCAAAATTAAATTAACATTAATTTAATTTATCAATAGTAAATTATTGGTGAGATAGCTTAAATTCTCATTTTCATACAAAGCCTTCAAAACCTGGTGTGTATCTCACACAGAACATCTCAGTTTGGACCAGCTACATTTCAAGTGCTCACTGGCCATACTTTGGTAATGGCTACTATATGAGACTATAGAACCTTAAACATTTCTTATATGTGTGTGAGTTGTGACTAAATGCATGAAACTCATTAATATTCTTTGAAGCCCTCTTACATGCAAGGAGACACTGTGCAATGAGGTAACAAAAAACATGAAGCGTGGTCTTTTTTCTCAAGGACCTTCCAGTCCAGTTTGGATAAATATATAAACAAAAATTAAGTTGAAATTTAAATGGACATGATTCAGACACTAGGAAGGATAACAGGGCAGCATATGATTGATTGACAAACAAGATGGCTGATAATTATCCTTAGGAATCTAGGGAGGGATACTTCAGGATCATGCAGTAGAGGAAGACTTGAGTCTAGTCTTGAAAGATGGGTAAGAGTTGGATTGCTGGAAAAGATGGGGAAGGTATTTTGGTTGAATGGAACTGATTATAACTTATTTTGTTTTTAGGGTTGAAAATTTGTGGAGTCCTGAGGCATTCAGACTGAAAAAGACTTTCCTCTCTCACTGACAGTCTCCACCATGATTCATAGCCTTTTCTTGATCAACTCCTCTGGAGATATTTTCCTGGAGAAACATTGGAAAAGCGTGGTCAGCCGTTCTGTTTGTGATTACTTTTTTGAGGCACAAGAGAGAGCTACTGAGGCAGAAAATGTACCACCAGTTATCCCTACCCCTCACCACTATCTCTTAAGTGTATACCGGCACAAGATCTTTTTTGTGGCTGTGATCCAGACGGAGGTCCCACCTCTATTTGTCATTGAGTTCCTTCACCGGGTAGTGGATACATTTCAGGTACGTGACTGTGAGGAGGTTCATACCTGTAAATGATAAAGTATCTTTCTTATTCTGTTTCCATTATATTCAGCCTCAACTGAGGAACTTTTTAAAAAAATCGAAACTCTGACATTGCTCACTTCCTCTCCCATCTGATAAGATTCTTGATTCTACTTATTGAATTGGCTGCATCTAAAAGAACAAATTGAATACTTTTGAACCTGTTGCATGAGAAAGCCACCCTACTCAGTATGATTGTGTACTGTCATTTTAGTTCTGGAAATTGTTTTCTAATTTTTGTCCACAAATCAGAGAACTTTAGTTGTTTTTTAAAAATAGTGGACTTGATGCTAACTATTGTTAATTATACTGCTTTGAGTTGCATCAAAAAGTGATGAGTGTGTAAAGATATATATACTTTTTAAAAAGTAGAAAAACTAAGTAATGTTTGTTTTCACTCTCCCTGGCAGGGGTAATTTGCGAACCCATACTTCATCTCGGGTTTGAGGTACTTATCCACAGCATAGGAGTAGTAGTGATGAATTCCTGTTGGAAACTTAAGATTGGAAAATCTGTACCCAAAATAATTTAAGTAACGTGTTTTACAAGATACAGTTTTTATTTTGAGTTTTTCTTTCATTGATAGATTTGAAGATCTTGGGCAGTGGGGTGTAGGGGAAGTAAGTTGTGCTATGATGCCAGCACCATTTATAGCGTAAGAGTTTAGGCTGCCCAGGCTCTGGATTCACACAGTGGAATCCTCTCCCTAAAAGACTTGCTCAGTTTCTGTTGTGGTATTTGCATAACTCACATGATAAATGAGAAGCCAGGGCCCTTTGGTTCAACTTCTATGTCATGTGAGGTCTGGAATTAGTCACATGAATACAGAAATTGTGGAGCTGGAAAAGAAGAGAACGAGGACCCAAGTGTTATGACAAAAATTGAAAAACAAGTCAGAGAGCCCTTTCATTTGCACTTATATCTAGATCACATGTCTGAAACAGCTTTCATTCCAATAGAATTATATTTTATAATTTTTCCCACAGACACTTTCTGGTAGTATTTATTCTGGAATTCCAGCTCTCATGTGGCATACTAGTTCTTTCACACAGTGAAAGCCTGAGAGTCATAAACCCCAGTATGTGGAGAAACTATAAGAACCCAGTTGCTCTGACCTTCAGCCACTCTAACTGGGCCCTGTTATGATTTCCACATATGATACTTTACCCCATTCTAAGACGTACAGCCTCACTGATGAAACTTGACAACAGCTTCATATTGCCATAAAGATAGTATCTAACTAATCATAAGACAGGAAGTGAGAAAAGTTGTTTAGTTGAAACCACAGAGGAATTTGAGAAAACAGTAAAGTGGCTAGTTTGGAAGTTTGGGACTTCATAGCTTGTAATTTTTGAAGCTTTTGTTAAAAGTGAATGGATACATGCCATAGCCCATTTGCTCAGTGGTTAAAGCGTTGGGCTGTGGACTGAAGGGTCGTGGGTTCAGTTTTGGCCAAGGGCACGTACCTTGGTTGCAGGCTCGCAGTCCCCAGTCAGGGCGCATGCGGGAGGCAACCAATCGATGTGTCTCTCTCACATCAGTGTCTTTCTCCCCCTTCCACTGTCTCTGAAAAGCAATGGAAAGAATATCCTCGGGTGAGGATTAAAAAAAAAAAGTAAATGGATACATCCTGATTTTGGTGTCTTATCTGATGTACGTTCTCTCTCTGGCTGTATTATATTTCTAGGTCTAGACTATAATGGAAGAATTTCAGCTATAGAATTGCAAGCATTTTTGCTATAGCATTTTGTCATAAGTCTCCTTATAAATGCCAACTGAGTTCACAATCTGCCTTATTTATAAAATCTAGTGAGGTGTTTTATTTATTTTTGAAATAAAATCAGTCTTGGGAAGTAAATGTGTAACTTTTTCCCCCTAAATCCTCATTTTTTAAGAAAAAATATTTTTTGTTTTAGAAACACATTCCTAAGTGATATTGGACATTGGAATAGCTTTTATAATTAACATTATCTGATGTAATTTAAATCACATCTGGAGTCTGCGATCAATTTCAGATATCATAATTTGAAGAGAATATTGGAAAACCAGAGCATATTCAAAGAAATGACAAGATGGTGAAACAATCTAGAAACCATACCATAGCATGAACAGTGGAAAGATCAAACAGGGAGTTTGGCCCTAAGCAAAAATACTAAAGTGAAATCCTGTAGTTGTCTTCAAATAACTGTGGGGCTGTTCTATAAATTTGCGCTATAATGGAGATCTAGGAAGCAAATTTTAGTTTAGCAAAAGCGCTTTCTAATAATCAGAGCTGTCCATGAATAGAGCGGGCTTTCTCAAAAAGGGGTCAGTTCCCCTTCCTTGGATGAATTCAAGGAGGGCTGTATGACCATCTCAGAGGTCCAGTAAAAGACATGACTGACATTGCTAGAAAGGTACACCAAATGACCACAGATATTTCTTTCTAAATCATTTCATCATCATGCTTTGCATTTTTACATAGTGCTTTATAGTTTACAAAGCACTTTCACATATATTATCACTTAATCATGCTTAGTTCCTGATTATACTATTAAAGAAATCAAGACCCAAATTAGTTAGCATGACAATCTAGTAATCTAGTAAGTGACAAGATTGTAAATCCTTGTCTTCTGATTTGGAATCCAGTGCTTTTTCCACAACCCAGATAATTTAGCATCTAAGTTTAGCCTTTGTTGATAAAAGGACAAAGCATTTTTAGAATCCTAGCATCTTAGAGTAGGAATGATCCGAAGTGATTTTCTGGTCTTCTAGCTCATCTTTATATTTTTATTTTATTTTATCTTAATTTAATTTTATTTTCCCTCTAAATTCTTATTAAGGGATAGCAGCACACTAAGAGTTAAAAAGATTTTCAGGCCCAATCTATGTCATATTAAGAATTATCATAGCTGTTTCAAATTCTTGTTCATAAGCACATACAATAGTCTAGATTTGGTTTTGTATTCTACATATTTTATCTAGTTGAAGAAGCTAATCCCTAGAGGTTAAATGACTTACTCTAGTTTATAAAAGAAGTTAGTAATGACACTAGTACTGCAAGTCAGCCCAGTGTTCTTTTTACCTAAGAGAACTATGGTTGTACTTCATTCCCTCATTATAGAAGAATATCCCACACACTGAGTAAACACATATGGACAGGACTAGATCCTTATTCTCTAGTAACATTCTTTCACTTATTACAGTCTCTGAGTGATAAATATATATATATTGTATTTTCATCAGGATTATTTTGGAGTCTGTTCAGAGCCAGTGATCAAAGACAATGTGGTTGTGGTTTATGAGGTATTGGAAGAGATGCTTGATAACGGGTTTCCATTAGCTACCGAGTCAAACATCCTCAAAGAACTGATAAAGCCTCCCACTATCCTTCGAACAGTTGTCAACACCATAACAGGTATGGAGAAAGGGGGAACCCACAGAAAGCTGCTGCCATCGTGGGTGTGGCTTAGTCTGGTGTGTGCATTGTTTTGAGTGCTTATCTTTGGTGATCTCAAATGTCCAGGTGGTTTAATTTTGCTCTTTATAGTCTTTGAGTATGAACTGAAATAGATTTTAATTATGCTAATTTCAATGACAGAATGAAGTGTTCTCCTTTAAAAAATTTTTTTCTGAATACAGAAGAAATACATGGTTATTGTAGAAACATTGGAAATACAGAAAAGCACAAAGAATGTGAAATTCTTAATCCCATCACACTTTTAACATATATTTTTTGTCTTTTCTGGACAGATGGATTATGGATGGATAGATAGAACATTTTTAAACAACTCTTGTATATATTTTAAAACTTGCCTTTTATCAATATTTTGTGAACGCTATCCTATTATGATAACTATTCTTTTACATCATTATTATTATGATTATTGTTATTAATTTAAAAAAGCTTTGGACATTTGATAATTTAGTGGTATTTTGTTATTCAGACACTCACTTTTTATTTAACTGTTTATTGACTGTTTTTCCCCCTATTGTGAAATACTTTTTTGTCTTCTGCCTATTTTTTGTTGTTGAAATGTTTTTTCTTTTTTTATTCTAATTTAAAGTAATTCCTTTCATTTAAGGATATTAAACTACCATATATTTTGGAAATATACATGATGGTTTGTGGGAATTCTTTACATATTTTGAATATTCTGTTACTGATATTTTCTCATAATCTGTCTTGTCATTTGACATTGTACAAGGTATTGTTTACTTAGCAACATGAAAAAATTTTTGACTTAGTAAAATTAATCATTCTTCATTAATTTTGCATTTTGGGTCTTGCTAAATATATATACAGGGTTTATATGGAATTTGACAAACTGATTGAAAATACATTTTAACAGGAATAAATATGCACAAATAACCAGGACAATTTTGAAAAAGGGGTTGGAAGGATTTTCCCTGTCAAATATCAAGATCTATTAATTTCATATGGTACAAGAGACAAAAAATTAGAGAACAGATATGAGTTATAAAAACCAAGAAAGAGATAAAAACTAAGACATTTTTTAAAGTAAATATATATGTATATATATTTAATATATATCTTTATTGATTTTAGAGAGGGAGAGGGAGAGAGAGAGAGATAGAAATATCAGTGATGAGAGAGACATTGATTTGCTGCCTCCTGCATGCTCCCCACTGGAGATCGAGCCTGCAACCCAGGCATGTGCCCTGACTGGGAATCAAACCTCTGTCTCCTGGATCATAGGTCGATGTTCAACCGNTGAGAGAGACATTGATTTGCTGCCTCCTGCATGCTCCCCACTGGAGATCGAGCCTGCAACCCAGGCATGTGCCCTGACTGGGAATCAAACCTCTATCTCCTGGATCATAGGTCGATGTTCAACCACTGAGCCATGCCTGCCCGGCGAAAATAACTTTTTTTTTTTTAAAAAAAGAACAAGAGAGAAAGTGTCCTATCAGATACAAGATACATCATGAAGTTTTGGTAATTTAAAAAATACAGTATTGGCCCAGTAACAGGCAAATAGATGATTGGGATACAATAGAAAGTCTAGAAACAGACCATTGTATTTATAGTAATTTGGTATAGATAGATGTGGTCATATATCAAAACAGTGGGCCAGGGTCCAGTTTTTAAATATATTGCATTGGGACAGTCAGCATTGATATAGAAAAAAATGAAGCCCCCCCCCCTTATTCTGATATGAAATAAGTTCCAGCTAGATTACAGTTAAACACAACAAACTTTATAACTGTTAGAAGAAAACATAGGAGAATGTCTTTTTGATCTTGGAGAAGGGAAAGTTTTTTTAAGAGTGTATTTTCCTCTAATTCTTTTATGATTTTATTTTTGATTTAATTCTTTAATCTATTTCAAAATTATCTTGGTAATCAATATAAGGTAAAGCTCTATGTTTATTTCTCCAAATTGTCAGTCACTTTTCCTGCCACCATTTATTGAATATCTTTTTCCCCTGTTTTCAAATGATATTTTTATCTTGTACTAAGTCATTATGTATTCTTGTTCTTTTTTATTTTTAGGCTTTCCTGCTTTATTATCATACCGATTTAATTATTATAGCTTGAGGACAGGTTTTAATATATAGTGCATCTTTTTAAGAAAATGAATTTGTTAGGTTTTTCAATATTTTGGGCTTAATTTTAACCTTAAAAAGCTTTATTATTAGTACCTGAGTCATTTATGCATATTATTAAGTTTTTTCTGGAATCTCACTTAAATCTAGAAAAAGGTATCTGAGAACCACTTTTTTTTTTAAACTATGTCTTTATTGATTTCAGACAGAGGAAGGGAGAGAGGGAGAGATAAAAAAACATCAGTGATGAGCGAGTCATTGATCTGCTGCCTCCTGCATGTCCCCCACCGGGGACCAAGCTTACAACCTGGGTATGTGCCCTGACTGGGACTTCAACCTTGATCTCCTTGATCACAGTTCAATGCTCAACAGCTGAGCCACGCCAGCCAGGCATCTGAGAACCGCTTTTGAAAAGCTGAAATGTTTTGTAAACATGCTGAATATATGTATGTTTAATGTTTCTTTCTTTAGATTAAAAAGATGCAGGTTACAGAAGAAGGAAATAGATTTTGAATTAGTTATAGTATTTCATAATTTTAGTATAGAACCTTTGAATTAAAAAAAATTTTTTTGATGCCTGCAGGAGAAAAGTCAAGGAATTGATTTATAACTCTTATAGACAGGGAAAGATCTAATTTGTATTCTTTTCCTAAGTTTAAATATTAGTATGAGAGAGATTATGTTGATGTGTATATTTTAATACCTAGTATAAATGTACTTAAGAACCTACCTCAAACTAGAATATTGTTTTTACCCATGAAAATTTTATATCTATATGTAGATTACCATCTCTACTGAAAGCCAATACATTATTTAAGCTGCAAGCTATTGTGCAATTTGAGAGACCAAGTTCAAGTTACTTTCAAAACCAAAATATGATATCTGTTTCTCAGGTAACTTTTTTAACCTTTATTCTACTTGAGAAGGCAGACCAGATGGAGACAGGTTTTTAAAGTAAACCAGGTTACCCCTGTAGAAGTTGGGAAAACTCTTGTGTTTTTGCAGGGAGGGTGTTTGAAAAATTCTTTGAATAGTGAGAGCATAGAAACTTCTAGGGAGATGTTCTCCAACTGTTAGATAATTGGTTACATCCAATCATCAAATTGGAATTAAATTACAGTAATATTCATTGTCTCAGGAAGCACCAATGTGGGTGACCAGCTTCCCACTGGGCAACTGTCAGTGGTGCCATGGCGACGGACTGGGGTGAAATACACCAACAATGAGGCCTATTTTGATGTGATTGAAGAGATTGATGCCATCATTGATAAATCAGGTAGGTGCTTTTAATCTGTCCTCCAAACTATGAAAATAGAAGAAGTCTCCTTTTATATAATGCTTGCTATTAGCAGAATTATCCTCCATTCAGAATCATTCATTTTAACTTAGTGCCTACTTTGTGTCAGGCACTATGCTAGGCACTAGGAATGAACGTAAATATGATGCAGATGACATGATTGTATATGTAGAAACCCCTAATGATTTAACAAAAAACTCTTAGAACTAATAAACAAATTCAATAAAGTTGTAGACTAAACAATCAACATACAAAAATCAGTGGCATTTCTATATGCAAACAACACACTACCCTAAAAGGAAATTAAAAAAACAGTCCCATTTATGATAGCAAAAATAATAAAATATTTAGGAATAAGGAATAAACTTAACCAAAGAGGTGAAAGATTTGTATACTGAAAATTTTAAAACATTGATGAAAATTAAAGAAGACACAGATAAATGGAAAGACACCTATATTCATGGAGTGGACAAATTAATGTTATTATAATGGCCATAATACCCAAAGCATTCTACAGAGTCAGTTCTATCCCCATCCCAATGACATTCTTTATTGAAATAGAAAAGAAAAAAACCCCACACCAATCCTAAAATTCATATGGAACCAAAAAAGACCCCAAGTAGCCTAAGCAGTCTTGAGCTGGAAGAATCAAGCTGGAAACTTCATACTTCCTGATTTCAAAATATATTACAAAACTACTTTAATTAAAAGAGTATGGATTTGAAATAAAAATAGATATATAGACCCATGAAACAAAATATAGAGCTCAGAAATAAAACTACACATTTATAATCAATAGGAGTACTAAGAATATACAATGGGGAAAGGATAGTTTCTTCATTAAATGTATTGGGGAAACTGAATATCCACATATAGAACAATAAAATTGAACCTTTACCTCACACAATATACAAAAATCAACTCAAAAAGGATCGAAGACTTAAACATAAGACATGAAATCATAAATCTAGAAAAAAAGATATGGAAAAAGCTTCTTGACACTGGTGTGAGCAATGATTTATTTTAGATATGACACCAAAAGCAAGGCAACAAATGCAAAAATAGACAAATGGGATTGCATCAAACCAAAAAGCTTCTGCAGAACAAAGAAACGATCAGCAGAGTGAAAAGGAAACCTATAAATGAGAGAAAGTACTTGTAAACCATGTATCTGATGAGGGATTAATATCCCAAAAATATAAGGAATTCATACAACTCAACAGCAAAACAAAACAAAAACCAAATAACCTGATTAAAAAGTGGACGTAGTACATGACTAGACATTTTTCAAAAGAAGACATAAAAATGGTCAGCAGGTATATGAAAAGGTACTCAACAATTACTAATCATCAGGGAAATGCAGATCAAAATATGAGATATTGTCTCATACCAGTTAGAATGGCCATTATAAAAAAACAAAAGATAAGTGTTGACAATGATGTGGAGAAAAGGGAACCCTTGTACAATGTTATTGGTAATGTAAATTGGCACAGCCATTATGGAAAACAATATGGAGGTTCCTCAAAATATTAAAAATAGAACTACCTTATGACCCACCATCCCACTTCTGGTTATATCCAAAGGAAATAAATATCTTGAAGAGATATCTGCATTTCCATGTCCAATGCAGTATTATTCACAGTAGCTAAGATACAGAAACAAACTAAGTGTCTTTTGACGGATGAATGGGGTAGCAAAATGTAAGATATGTACACACATAATGGAATATTACTCAGCCATAAAAAAGAAGGAAATCCTGCCATTTTCAACGTGGATGGACTTGAAGGACATTACACTAAGTGAGATAAGCCAGATACAGGAAGACAAATATTGCATGGTCTCACTTATAGGAGCAGAGAGTAGAATGGTGGTTTCCATGGGTTAGGAGGAGGGGGAAGTGAGGAGATGTTGGTCAAAGGGTACAAAGTTCCAGTTATGCAAAATGAGTAAGTTCTGGAGATTTAATGTACAGCTCAGTGACTACAGCTGCATTGTGAAAGGACTCTCCCATCTAGTTAAATTAACACATCCTCACCTCACATATATATTACATACCTGAAATTTAGAGAGGGTAGATCTTAAGGGCTCTCGCTGCATGCGACCGTGTGCACGTGCGCACACACACACAAAGAAAAAATAACTGTGAGGTGATGGATGTGCTAAATAGCTTGATTTTGGTGATGATTTTACAATGTATATGTATATCAAAACATCAAGTTGTACACCTTAAATATATAAAATTTTTACTGGTTAATTATACACATAGAGCTAAAAACAAAAATATGATGCAGACTTATGCTTGTCTCACTTTTATTAGTTTTATTTATCTTATTTTGAATAAAAAGGAAGTAACAAACTAATCTTTTGTTGATTAATTTCCTTTTGAAAAGATTTAACTCGCAATTTTCAGGGCAGAACTAAAGCTGTAATTACTAAAATTCAGGAAGCTGCCTTTTCTCTCTATTCTGAATTAGGTTAATATGAGTAGAAGTCCAAGAGTTTGGAAATTTGTAGAAAGTTCTGTTATATCAGTGAACTCATTCATTCAACACATGCTTATTGCAAACCGGTTGTGTTACATAACAATGCTGGATAGTGGGCATTTAATGATGAATTAGATACAGTCTAGGAGTTTTCCAACTAGATATAGCCCCTTCCCCCCTTGAGAATCTTTGCTGACAATAATGCAATGATAGTCACAGTGATACAGTGGGAGGTGTTACTAATGTGAGGGTGTTATGCAAGAGAAATATGGAGAAAAGAAAAGGCTGAGGACCCCTGGATATAAGTAAGGGAAAAAGAAAATCTCTTTACTGCAAATGAAAGACACCTAATACATATTAGAAGATGAGAGAGAAACTCTCGTAGAGAAAAGTAAACCCAGTAATTAAGTCATTGAATACCTATAATATCCCCATTCCAAACAATATAGGAAAACAACAATTATCTGTTAATAATGAAGATAGGTGTGTCATTCACAGGGACAATTGGCTATTATGTGGCATTCAGCATAACTGTAGGGGTCCCCATTTTTCCCATGACGAGCCTTCAGAGGTTCATGTTAGTAAATGTGGGTGGCAGCTGGCTTTTGGTTCAGTGATGGTTTTCCGCATTTTTTGACTAATTATTTCTCAGTTCTGCAGCAAAATCTTTCCGAAATCTTAATTCTGAATTGTGTTCCATATACAAAGTTCTGGACCTCTTTATGAGCCTCCTTTGTTGTAGATGATGATGATGATGATGTTATTTTGTTGTTGACTGTGATGAGGTTATACAATTAAAGGAGACAAAAGGGGTTACAAAGAGAGAGAAAGGAAGACATAGTGTATGGCTGCAGAAGCTTGCTTAAGCCTAGTGAGGGAGAGAGAAAGGTCAAAATGTGGATAGCCTTGGCTGGTGTGGCTCGGTTGGACATCATCCTTTGCACCAGGAGGTTGCCGGTTCGCTTCTTGGTGAAGGGCACATGCCTGGGTTGTGGGTTTGATTCCCATTAGGGGGCGTGCAGGTGGCAGTCGATTGATGTTCAGCTCTCACATCAGCATTCCCCTCTCTCCCCTCTCCCTTCCTTTCTCTCTAAAAATCAATAAACTGTTCTTTACTTAAAATTTTATCTTTATTGTTGTAAGTATTACAGATGTCTCCCCTCTTCCCCCAATGACCCCCTCTACCCTAGTCCTGTCTCCTCCCCAGGCTTTCCCCACACTATTGTCTATGTCCATGGGTTATGCATATAAGTTCTTTGGTTAATCTCTTTTAATCTTTTCTCCAGCCCCCCTCACCCCTTTCCCTCTAATATACATCAGTCTGTTGCATGCTTCAATGTCTCTGGATCTTTTTTGCTCGTCAGTTTATCTTGTTCATTAGATTCCACGTATGAGTAAGGTCATATGATACTTGTCTTTCCCTGACTGGCTTATTTCACTTAGCATAATACTCTCCAGGTCCCTCCATTCTCTCCAAAGGGTAAGAGATCCTTCTTTTTTACAGCTGCATAGTATTCCATTGTGTAAATGTTCCACAGTTTTTTTATCCACTCCTCTACTGATGGGCACTTGGGCTGTGCAGCCCTATGTTCATAGCAGTGTTACTTACAATAGCTAAGATCTGGAAACAGGAGGGGCAGGTCCAGAAACGAAGATAATGAATTCACTTTGACATGTAGAGTTTGAAGTGCCTCTATGACATCCAAATGGAGCTGTCCAATTGACTGAACTGGAAAAAAGATTAGAAAATAGTTGGCCATCAGTGGAAATTGAAGCCTGGGGTGGTAGGTTAAGTAACCCAAGGGAGAGTGTTGCATGAAAGAGAAGTTTAGAAGCATAGACATTTAAAGGATGTGAAAAAAGGAAATCTGCAGAGGGCACTGAGGAAGAGGAGCTAGGAAAGTGGAAAACTAGGAGAGGGGAGGATTTTGAAAAGGAAGAAGGGGCCAACAATGACAAATGCTACAGAGATACCCTGTAGGATGAAGACCAAAAGTACCCATTAAATATAGCAGCACAGCTCATTGGTGGCCTTAGGGAGAGCAATTTCTGATAGGAAATTTTCTGAACCATTGGTTAAGATAATGATATTCTGTTTGATTCTGGTACTAAAGTGAAAACTCCTGTAGGCTAATTATCTCATTAATTTTTTTATCCCCATTACTTCATCTAAGTATCTCATACTTGATATGCAGTTGATAAATGTTTGGAAGGATGGACAGTGTTAGGTAGATGAATTGGATGGGTGGACAGAAGGAAAGAAGAAAGAATGAGGGAAGGACAGAGGAAGGAAGAGATGGAAGGAGGGAGGGTAGAAGGAAATAAGTTGGGAAGAACAGAGAAGACAGCCATAATCTCTTACCTTTTTGTCTTGTTCCTGTCTCAGGTTCCACAATTACTGCTGAGATCCAGGGAGTGATTGATGCTTGTGTCAAACTGACTGGAATGCCAGACCTTACACTTTCCTTCATGGTAAAAGCCTGAACCATAGGTTTAGTTCTTGGGAGGGGAAATGAAATGCTTTTGGAAAGACAGACTGGTGAGAATGAAATGTAACAAAAAGATATAATTACAGCCACTCAGCTTGTGTCAAGCTTGCATTTTCTATAAGTAACTACAGAATTTGGGTGTGTGTGCATAGTTAATAAAAACAGCATCTAAATTACTCCTGAAAGAAATATGGGTGTTTAATTCCTACCTATTGTTTTTCCTTGCCTGGTAACTATAGAACCCCAGGTTGCTGGATGATGTCAGCTTCCATCCTTGTGTTCGTTTCAAGCGCTGGGAATCTGAGCGTATCCTTTCCTTTATCCCTCCTGATGGAAACTTTCGCCTGCTCTCTTACCATGTCAGTGCCCAGAAGTAAGCAGCCTTATAATTAAGAATGGAATATCTGTGTGTGTGTGTGTGTGTGTGTGTGTGTAAACCACAGCTATAGTGATTAAGAACTCTGGCTCAGGAGTTACCTGGGTTCAAATTTCAGCTTCTATACTTACTAATTGGGTAAACTCAGGTGAGTTGCTTAACTTTTCTATGTCTGTTTTCTTCAAGTTGAAAATAATAAAAGTACCTTGTTATGAGTATTAATAAGAGAATCTAAATAGTGCTTATCACAAAGTAAGTGCTCAAGTTTGCTGCTGTTATTTTTGTTGTGATTATTATATGTCTAAACAAGAACATTTTTCCCCTCAAATTGGAATCTGAGTACACCTGTATTCAATCAATTCCCCCCAACTCTAAAGAATCATTGAATTATACAATGAAAATCACAAAATGCAGTGGTTTTTGTTCTTGAACATTCTCTGATATGAGTCTAACAGTTTATGGAGCCCTTAGTAGAAGATGTATAGTAGAAGGTATGTGGACTGAAGAGAGCCACAAGACCTCAGAGCCACCAATACCTTTCTGTGTGATTTGGAATAAATAATTTATAAAAATATCTGAGTGCTTGAGAGCAAAAGCTCTGGAATCAGACTGCCTAGACTTAAGCTTCACCTTCTGTATTTATGGTATTTGACCTTGGGCAGGTTACTTAACTCCAAGGTTAAGCATATCAGTATTCATCTATAAAGCCAGGACAGTAGCAGTGCCTACTTCATCCTGATTGGGAGGGTTAAATGCAGTAACAGAGATGAAGCTTTTAGCACAGTGACCAGCACTCAGGAAGTGCTTAATAGATATTAAGAACTGGTATTCTTCTGTGACTTCTCTATTTTCTCTTCTGTCAAATCATGACAACCTACCCTGCTTCATAGGGTTTTTGTAAGGATCAGGCAAGGTCTAGTAAAAGCTCAAGAAATTATAAAATGTCCATGATGTATGAATATCATTCTCCCAAGTACAAATAATTATCAGTCACATGTCACAAAATTAAACAAATATGGTGACTCCTAATTTTTGTTCATGCCTTTCTCATAGCAGTAGGCCTAGTATACTCTTTGATTTTGTGATATTATTCAGAGAGTTATTAGTAGAGTTAGTTTAATTACTATACAGCATTTTAGCTTTACAAAAAGAAAAAAAAAAATCAAAGATTACTAGAGCTTTTTCCTGGGCTTAATTTTAAGATAAGGAGTAAGGAAGTGTAGGTAAGGGTGGAAAATCTTAGGAGAAGGAAATGTTGCCATTTTTCCAGTACATTAATGAAATGGGCTTTTGTGTGTCTCTTTTCCAGCCTGGTGGCAATTCCAGTGTATGTCAAACATAACATCAGTTTCCGGGAGAGTAGTTCACTTGGACGCTTTGAAATAACAGTGGGACCTAAGCAGACTATGGGGAAGACCGTGGAGGGAGTGATTGTCACCAGCCAGATGCCCAAAGGGGTCCTGAATATGAGCCTCACTCCATCTCAGGGAACACACACATTTGACCCAGTTACCAAGGTAGGAGGAGAAGCAGGAGGTTTTGAATCGCTGGTGTTAAATAGCAGTAACTCCGAGGGAGCTCTCCAGAGACTGTATACCTCGTCCAAAGGGGCGATTAGTCACAGGGACATTGTTTTCTCCTTGAGATGGTTTATGGTAACAAATAGTGTTCTCTGTTGAGAAAACAGCCTAGAGGCAGGTTATAATATTGTGAACAGATGCCCTGAGGTTAGAGCTCAACAACCTCACATGAACGGTTTCACTGTAACTTTTTTCTTTTTCTTTGAAGATGCTGTCTTGGGATGTAGGAAAAATAAATCCCCAGAAACTACCAAGTTTGAAGGGGACCATGAGTCTTCAGGCTGGAACTTCCAAGCCAGACGAAAACCCCACAATTAACTTACAGTTTAAGATCCAACAGCTGGCCATTTCTGGTAAGTGCCCCACAGCCTAGCTGGCTTTGAAGAGAAAGAAATGTCACAGACATCACAAAGCCTTCCCTTGGCTCCCTGTTTATCGAGTTTGGCTTCATTACCTGATATGTGATCTTTAGTAAAATCTTTTCTAGCACATTTCTGGGAAAAGTTTATAATCCTTGTTTTGAAGTTGGCCCAAGTGACCTGAATAAAAGTGTCTAGACACAGATGAGAAAGAAAGAATATTGGTAGGCAGCGGTGTTCTGGCAGTTGTTGAGTTATCCTAGGGTTGTCAATTTGAGGTTTCCTGGGTCTTCAGTGTGGGAATGCTTCTGTATTCTCAGCTTATAACCAAAAATAATAATTTCCCCTCCTTTTCCCCAATTTCAGAAGACTTTCACATTTGCTTTTTTTAAAATCCTCACCTGAGGATATACTTATTGATTTTAGAGAGAGGAAGGGAGAGAGAGAAGGGGAGAGATACCGATGTGAGACAGAATGTCTATTGGTTCCCTTCTATATGTGACCTAACTGGGGATCAAACCCTCAACCTAGGTATGTGCCCAGACTGAGAATTGAACCCACAACCTGTCAGTATATGGGATGACACCCCAACCAACTGATCCACACTGGTCAGGGCCACACTTGCTTTTGGTATCATTTAGGACCCTCGGGCCTACCCAAGTTGGTTTACTATCGTCTACACCTACCTTAGGATGATAGTAATAATATTAGTTAACACTGACTAGGCATTTACTGTGTGCTAGGCACTGTATTAAGCTCTTTTCATCTATTATTTAATCTGTTGAACAATTCTGTAAGATGAGAGGAGATGGTTTTAACTTTATATGAAGTTCCTGTTTTTCTTTACCAATAGGCCTTGTCTAATTTAAGTGATTAGAATTCACTTAAATTATAAACTCTTTCATCTTAAAACACTTAATAAACTTTAAAGTTTTTATATAGTATAAAATTTTTTTCTTAGTATAGTGAGAATACTTAGGAAGCATTCATTTATTAATTCATTATTTTCTACTCATGCATTTGATGATAATTTATTTCATTATTAATTCGTGTATTCAGTACAATAACTAGAGAAAAACATACAGTGCTCTTATTTTTCCTTTCCCCTCATTTCAGTCTGCGTATAACTTTCTGCCCTTTCCACTTCAGGAACAGGTCTTCTAATATTTTTTTGGTTCATTCTACTACTGTTTTTTTGGTTCATTGCTACTATTATCTCTATCCCACTGGTCTCTTTGAATTGAAATTAATTTAAACAGTTATGCTACTGATTTCTTTTGAATCATGCTTATGTCATATTCTTCCTTCCTTCCAGGACTCAAAGTGAACCGTCTGGATATGTATGGAGAGAAGTACAAACCCTTTAAGGGCATAAAATACATGACCAAAGCTGGAAAGTTCCAAGTTCGAACCTGAAGGGAGAGTTTTGCAAAGGGAACAGTCACCAACACTTTTCTTTTCTTACTTGTCTAAAAGTAAAAAAATACCAGCCTGTATCCTAGGTCAGCCCCCTTCTGGACCCAGCCACTCCCTTTTTTCCTTAGCCTTCAGTGCCATGGAACTAATCAGGGGAGAAAAGGGCCACCAGGGAGGATGGTTTAGAACTGAAACAAGTCAGCACCAACTCAGTTCTTAAGGAAGAGCTGGGCGATGGAGGCCAGAGGTACTTGATGCCACATTTAACTATTTTTAACATGGTTACCATAGGAAAACACTAGCATTTATTACTTGTTTGGCTTTAATTATCTAAAGCCAATGAAAGACTTCTTTGTTACTGTTTTTTAAGGTGGAGAGAGGAGAAGAAAAAGGAAGGAAGGAAGGAAGGATATAAAAGAAAGGAGAAGAGAAAGAAAGACAGGAAGAAAAGAAACCTTGGGAAAAAATGAGCATTAGTGAAGCAAAGGCTAGTTAAGGATCTGACCTGTGAGGGGGAAGAAAGTAGAAAGAGTACTAAAGTATGAGGACACTAAAGTGAAAGTGGCAAGAAAGCAAGTCCCACATGAAGGAGAGTTAGAAAGAATAGAGTTGAGAGCATTTCTTTCTGATCCCTCTACTTTCATATATTTTAAAAAAATTTGTACTTGACTGGCATCTTCTTAAATTCGAGTCCACTGTTGATATGGAAAACCCCAGTAGAATCAGATTTTCCCTTAAAGACCATGACTGTATCCGACCAGTTTTCAGACAGCTGCTGCTTGCTTTTAGTACTTGATCTGTCATCTTTAGTGAGGAGGTGACTTGTCCTTTTCCTGGTGGTGGTTGCTAGAAATGCCCTGTTCCCCTAACCCAAAACACTTCACAGAATTCACCAGCGTTTTCCCGTTACCTGCGGAGAGTTTCAGAAAAGCCAGTCCAGGGCAGCTGTGTTCTGTACGCAGTATTGGAGCGTAGGTGGCCAGCTTGGTCCTCATGAAGGTGGACCACAGCTGTAACCTAGTGATTCCTTATTTCATGTGTCGGTGCCGGACTAGGCTTGGAGTCTAAGCTGTCCTGTCGGAAACATTTCCATCTGTAACCCTGCGTAAAAAGAATGCTTATCACTGGGGGGTGGCTCATCCTTGAAGCAGCTCAGTAAAGTGATTTCCTCGGTCTACTGTTTTGTTTTCTATAATACATTTATGAACAGTAGCTCTCCACTGGTCCATTTTTCTTTTAAGGTCTCCCCTCCAAAAGTCCCCCAAATCTTTGAATAAAACTAATGTTGTGGGAAGATGGGCCATGTTGATCATGTCTAAACCACTTTCAGAAACATGGCAACTGAAGGATTGCCGCAGGCTTTCCCAATGGGTAATTTTTACTCTAGTTTAATGTGTTTATTACCCATTTAAATATTTATGTGAAAGGCAGGTTTTTAAAAACCATAGCTTAAGCAGTGATATTGTGCGCTGCTTCATGCATGGAGACAAATGAAGACCCATACTCTCCAAACCCTACAATCTTTCTCCAAAGCCCCATTTCCAAAATACTTAAGTGATTCTTTTTCTAGTTTTAACTTCCTACCTGCTGGACTTGTTTTGCTGCAGTGATGTTGCTTTGTGGTTTTTCTCTGGGATAAATTGTGCACTATACAATGTGTTTCAGGTTCCATCACTCTAGAATTTGTCAAGAATTACTATGTCCCATATATACACACCTACCATGGTGGGCGAGACATCCATGCCTGTGGATTGTAGAATCCTTAGAATTACTTCTCCTCAGGGCTCTGGAGGATTTTAAAGTTTCATGAAAAACAGTCATGGCTCCTGAATATTTTTAGTTTTGTAAGTCCAGCTATTTTATTTCCTCCAGGGCAGCTCATCTAATCTCAAGTGGGGAAGTTAAGGGGAAATAAAGTATCTAGGGTATGGGACCCACAGCCTTAGCATATGAAGTGACTGTAACACCACCTGTGTGGCAGAGCTGGCATGCAGTGGAGCGTCAGTGTGTTAGCATAAGTAGTGCAGGGGGTCCTGATTGAGCTGTTCAGTTCCATGTGTTTAACATGTGCAGAAGTATTTTCTCTGTCTTAATAAAGTTGAGTTTTATCAGTTCCTCCGCGTCCTAAGTGTTTTGTTGTTAGGACTGGGTGATGCTATGCCACGTGTGCCTCAGAAGAAGCAGTGAGAAATAATTTGGTAAGATCTCACTGTTGTACTTTTAAACTAACAGACCTAAAGCCATATATATGGTTTGATTCTCTAGTCACCTCTGGAAGATAGGGGATGTCGGTATTAATGTCATTTTAAAAAAGGTATTTTATTGGTTTTTAGAGAGAGAAGCAGGAAGAGGGAGAGAGAGGGACAAACATCGATGTGAAATGCATCGCTTTCTCCACGCCCCCCACTGTGGATCAAACCTGCAACCCTGGCATGTGCCCTAACCGGGAATCGAACCAGCAGCCTTCTGGTACATGGGACGATGCCCAACTGACTAAGCCACACCAACTCCAGCCTGGGCTTAATGTCATTCTAAGGTTGTGAGAACGAAGGTCCAGATCAATCAAATTATTTTTCCCCAGCGTGTAAAAGACAAAACCATTAAAGCTGCTGATGTCTATTCTAGTGCTCTCCCCATTCTCTTGATCTTCTTTGATTAATTCAGACATGAAACAGAGCTTCAAGGTTCCCAGACATTTAATTGTAGGAGAGATTTCTTGGAAGATAAGACATTAAGAGTTTTGGTCAAATGTAAACATTGGTGGTTATCCCATATCTGTAAATCCCTCATGGCCATGAAGAGATTTTTAAGACTTATTTCTGTTGACTTACCATGAGTGTTTAATATCTATTACTATTCCATTCTAGCTATCTGAGTCATTGTTAATATCTCTTCTTTTGGTCCGACTTTTCCTGGCATTGGGGTGTGACCAGGTATATTTTATATTTGTACTTCTCTCTTGCGCCAGTAGGTGGTGACTCAGTGCCAACAATGAGATTAATTTTTTAGAATTTTAAAAGGGGAATTGAATATGAAACTTAAGTTTCAAGGACTGGGGATTGTATGAATCTTTGGCTTTCTAAGTTAACCGTGAAACCAAAAGTTTCTGACACTTTTTGATAACCAGACTTAAGATTGGGGCTCTAGGAGGGTAGCAGTTTCAATGATCTCAGTTCCCCTGGTCTTTACCCATTAAGACTGCACAATTGCCTGAGAATCCTTCTTGTTCTTTGGGTCTGTTAGCAGCTATTTGTTTTATTATCTGGCTTAGGATAGTGAGGGGAATATTATAATACGATTTAACTTCCCTGTATGCTCATTTCCTTCCTCTGACAAGTTCCAGACATTTTATCCTGAATTTTCTAAGCCGCATCGACTAATGATGTGTTGCTTTTTGAGTGTATTTTAGTAAAGTCTGCCCTTGTTGCTCAGTCAGTGGCCTCTCCTGAGCAATTGTTTTCACCCAGTCTGCGGTTTCCAGGACTTCACTCAGAGGGATGCTGGAGCCTTTTAACTTTGCATTTCCATTCCAAGAGGCCTGACTGCTTCAGTTCATCTCATTAACCTGACTATCTGAAGAAAAGTGTTTCACGCAAGGGGGAGGGGATGAAACCAGTTGAATTCCTGCAGGAGAATCAGTAGCTGGGGGTATTGTTTATTGGTGTCCTCTAGCCATGCTTTTCTGAAACGGCTGAAAGGCACATCTATCTAAAAATCTGCCACTTGCACAGGGAAACTTGTAAGCAAGCAGTGTAAAGTCAAGAAATCTGTGACTTAAGTTTCTGTGACCTGCATTTATTTAACTGGTCCAGGGACTTCAGCATTTTAGGGAAGTGGAGTTTTTCCCCCTGTATCCAGTTCTTGGGCCTTAGTGTGTTTCTTTAATGAATTAAAACTACTTTCCTTTTAAGAACCCTTAAACTGAGCAGTCTTACAACTTCTCTAGAGAGAGAACTACAGCTACCTTTTTTTGTCTCCAAGAAACTGTCAGTGTATACGCAGCTGCAAGCATTGTGTCAGCAGATTTACTCTTGGATCTGGCACAGCAGTGATGCCTGCTGGGCAGCATCCAAGTACATGGGTTATATCTCAAGTGGTTAAGAAAGTAGTCTAAGAGAAGCAGAAAGCAGCATTCCTTAAGTAACATAACTTGTGTGGACTGGCCTGGGAGTTAATTCTTTCTGATGAACAGGAAAGCAAAACAGAATGGGGAAAAAAGGACCCAAATACTAGCTTCTAGTCTGAACCAACAACTGGGATGTTGCTATGTTAGTAGGTCATGCTCAGGTTCACCTTATCCATTTTTCCATTATAGTTCTATGGTTGCTGCCCAGGGAGCCTCCTTACCTCCCTCATCTGCTCTCTCCCCAACCACCACTTCCTTAATATTCCTGAGGCATGCTCTGTTCATCACCTCCCTTGAACAAAGACCTCAGTGGCTCCCTGTTGACTACAAAATTAAGTCTAGACTCACTTTTGCATTCAAAGGCCCCATAATCTAAATTTCAACCTACATTTAAAAAAAAAAATTTTTTTTTATTGATTTTTTTTAGAGAGGAAGGGAGAGGGAGAGATAAATATCAATGTAAGAGTGAAGCATTGATTGGCTGCCTCCTGCATGAGCCTGCAACCCAGGTGTATGCCCCTACTGGGAATCGAACCAGCAACCTTCTGTTGCATGGGACAACGCCCAACCAACTGAGCCACGCTGGCCAGGGCCCTACCTACATTATTGACTTCACTTCAAACTGTACAACTGAGTTCCTCCCCATACTCCTGATACCTTTGTAATAATTTGGTTATTATTTAACAGGAAAGGAGTAGAGGGAAATTAGATAATATAGGCATGCCATTTACACAGCTTTGCTAACTTAACACTCTCCAAGTTTGCTCCCCGCAGATCACTGATGTGGGAAGGTGCCTGTTTGTCAGTCACACCTGAGAACAAATTAGTGGCCAGAATAGGCGTGTCTGTTGCAAGGGCATGAAACCTGAATATTTAAACTCCTAGACAAAGGAAGTTCACTCTCAGCTCTCTCCCTTGCTGTCAGCGCCTGACTCCTGTTGCAGGGGGTGCGCTCCCCTGTGCCCACATGGCTCACGGCCATGTGGACTCCACACAATGGATTAATAGACTGAATCTGGACTGAACGTACTGGACCTGGCTGCAACATGGAACAGAAGCTTTGGACACCGGCCTTTCTTTTGGTTTTGCTGAACCCCAGATACACCTTTTTTAGGACTGCTTTAAGGGACATGGGTGTTTGGAACCTGAGAAATGTAACTCCACCCTGATAGAGTCTTCTACCACACCTCATTCTCCCATGGGGCCTTCTGAAAGTGCTCATTTCAGTGGCACCCCCAAAACCCCACTAGCAGTGGAGAAATCCCACTCATGTACTCCTCCCATAGCACTTCCACTGCCTTTTTGCTAGATCTATAGTTTCATGCACTGATATTCCTTGCCTCAGGAATGCCTTTCCCACACCTCTCTACCAGTCCTACCTAGTACTATTTGAAAGCCCTACCTAATACTATTTTTTCTTTAAGATTCCCTAATCCCCTCTGCAACTGAATTCCAGTAAAAGTTTCTCTGCCATTTTGTGGTCCATCTCTGTTCTACCTTGTTTCTCGAAATAGCTTATTTGTTCCCTTCTTACTGTCCACAGCCCCTAGTACATTGCCTTGTGTGCAGCAAGTATTCTGTATTTGTTGAATGAATGAAAGGAAATATTGCAAATAATTTTAAAATATGAACATGAGTAAGTCAGCTGTGCAATACTGTGTATGAAACAACTATTCCACTCCAGGTAAATATGTGAAAAATAAATCTGAATTTATTATTTCAGTACAGTATAATACAGAATTGTGGCAACAGGAAGTAAACACTACAATGACTTGACATAAATATGCTAAAGTCTAGATTATCAGTTATTAAAATGGTACAATTCTTCTGTTACAAAGTTTATAAAGAAAAAAGATTTACACTGTATACAAAAGGAATTCCCTCCAAGAGCTGTCCAGTGGAGAAAGGGGAGAGCCAAACACTTGACTTAAAGGATGGTCTGAGGAACATGACCTGGCCAGCTAGCCCATTTCTTATTAGGAGGTCCACTTCCCTGTTGGGCTTCCTTGTGACTATAAATAGACATTCTATTTCTAATGCAATACTTCTTTCCTGAAGGAGCTAGTTATTTTTTTACTACAGAGACATGCTTTTATCTTTGTAGTCCCATTTCCAAAGCTGCTCACGTTGACAGATTAGGAAGTTGGGCTTTTGTTCTACCTCTTATCTGCCCTAGATGGTGGTATCCTGGGAGGGGCTGGCATTTATCTGTCTTTCCGTCTGACAAAATACCTTCTGAAATCAGACCTTAACCCCTGAAAATTTCCAGAGTGGGAAGTACCTGTGAAAATATATCCTTTCCCCTCTCCTGCAGGTTCTCCCCCCAATGGTACTGTGTGATAGGTCCAGGAGAAATCTGTGTAAAGAAACACTCCTCCCTGGTGTGTCTTCTGAAATGGAAAAGGCAAGGTCCACCATGGTTTCAGGGAACTGGATGTTCTTGGTCATGGGCGCGCCTTGTCTTTAATCCAACCCAGGTAATTAGTAACCTTGGTGTATACACCTGGAACATCTTTCTGCCCACAGCCAAGACCCCAGCTGATGATGCCAACCAAAGTCATGCGGTTGTCCTTCATACACACCAAGGGGCCTCCTGAGTCACCCTACAAAAGAGAGAACAGGTTAGTTGTTGGCAAAAATTGCAGACTCTTTGGGTGGGAGTTCGGGTCAATATTTGTAGTGTTAGTACTGTATTCTTCCTAGTACTTAGTTCACAGAGGGAAATTTTTACCTCAATGATCTTGATCCTGTAAGAGAATTAGGCTGTATCTACATTGTAAAGTAGAATGGAGATAATTGCTCAGACACTTCAGGCCTCAGCCCTGGCTTTAACTCCACTTAGTTGTGTGGCCTTGGGCTAACTGTGCTCCAGTATCCTTTTCTGTATAAGAGAGATAATACTACCTACTTGATGAGGTTGTTATGGGAACTAATTGGGAGAAAGCTTGAAAAAAACTGGGAAAAATGTATGACATTTAGTGAAACTCTTGGTAATTGTTAGCTATTATTGTCTTGCTAACTCAAAATGGTTTTTGGTTTTTGTTTTTAACTTGACGCTTGCAAATAATCATGCTTTCACTTTGCATACAACCTTTATGTGACTGTGGAGCTAGGTGGTACCATGGAGGTTCTGAAAAAATTATTCAAAAGAGACCAAAGGCTGTCAAGGAACCAAGTAGGGGCTGCTGTGATTACTTTATAAGAACAAAGTCCACAAAGCCTTCAGTGCAAGAGCCTGGCATCCTTCTTTTTGCACCCCTCTAACCCTAGCTCCTCAGCGGACAGCCTGGCACACTGCAGGCATGAACATGTCTCATCAATAACAGACCCTTGGCTATATTAGGTCCTAATAGCACAGATTGGCCTGTGTCCCATAGGCCAGTGTCTTTTTATTTATTTATCTTTATTGTTGAAAGTATTACAGGTAACCCCCTTCCCCCACATTGACTCCCTCGCCAGTAGGCCAGTGTCTTGTTATCATAAAATAGAAGTACTGTACTAACTCCAATAAGGATGCCAACAGAGAGCCGGAAATGGTTTGCTTTTCCAGGTTATTAGGGCTGAGTATGACTTTTTAAGCCTCATTTCTCACAAATCATCTCTATCCTACTTCCCAGTAGGTTGCGTTCCTCCTCCCCCTGCTACAGAGCAGACCACAATCCTCCGGTACCTACAGAAGTCAGGAATCTCTTAATTTGTGTTGCTTCATCCCTTCACTTCAAGTCAATTAATTGCTTGGGGCTCACAGGAAATCCTGTACCAGGTGGAGTTTCCTGTGCAGACACTGGGGAAATTTCCTGCAGTTCAGAGTTCTTAAGTTTGGGTAACTCTGATCTTTCCCCAGTTGCTTCATTCTCAGAATCCCTAGCACCTCGCCAAGAAGAAATCACTCCATTAGAGGGTTTTTTCCATCGTTAAAAACCTGTTGGCCAAGGGACGCTTTTACCCTTGGTGGGCCCGGAGGATGGCTCGTGCTCACCTGGCAGGCGTCATGCAGGTTTGCTTGGTCCCCTCCGCTCCGCGTGTCTCCAGCACACAGCATGTTGTTCGTGATGGTTTTGTTAGACAAATACTGGGACGTGCAGCGGCTGGAGGGGTACAGCCTGACATGCGCCTCCTTCAGCCGCTCAGAATAGAAAGGAGAAGCTGAAAGAGAGGAGGGGAAACCTCTTATGGTTTTAGGGAAAGCTGTCCACCTTTCGGAAGGAGGAAGCCAGGTTTTCTAATAATAGCGAACATGTATCAAGCTTTGACACACATTACGTTAAATCGTGAAATTGCCAATATTTTATTGTTTTGCCCTATAAAAACGACAATTTTATAGAGTTTAACCCAGGGTTTCTCAATAGCAGCACTATTGACATGTAGACCAGATCATTTTTGTGAAAGGCTGCCCTGTGTATGGAACTGTTTGGCAGCATCCCAACCATGGCTTCACCCCACTAAATGCCAGGACAAACCTCCATCCTGAGTTGTAACAGTCAAAAATGCCACCAGACATTGCTAACTGTCTCCTGAGGGACAAAATCACCTGAGGTGAGATCCACTGGTTTAACCTAGTATCTCATTTAATCCTCATAACCTAAGGAGGTAGCTAGTTCTGTCCCCATGTCACCAATGAGGAAACTGAGGCTTGGAGCAGTGTAACATAAAAATCCAAGACAGGGTCACACTGCTAGCAAGGAACAGAGGGGGGATTTGAACTTGGGTCTGTGGGACTGTATACCCTTAATTACTGTCTTCACTCTTGTCAGAACCTTCTTGAAATCTGAAGCTCTTCAAAGCACTGGTACTATTCAGACCTTTCACAACCTGCACAGTGACCCTGTGAGGTGGGAAAGGCTGATGGTGGTTCTCACTGTACAGGGAACTTGCCTACACTGACACAGCGTCAGTGCCTGACCCGGGGCCACAACCACTCTCTCGACCACCTTTTCCTCTGTCTGGTCAACGGCTGCATCCCCCGCTGTCCTGCAGACAGACAGGACGGGCCGTGACTTCCTTCCACTTACACGCCTCGTGCTTGCCGTAGCCAGACAGCTCACACTCCGTCCAGTCGGGCAGCTGCAGGCCGGCTTCGGGCAGACAGACAGTGCGGACAGAGTCACTCTCCTGGGCACACTGCAGCGAATCTGATTTCAGCTGCAGCAGTGCTGTGGGCAGAGAGGAAGAGAAAAGCCCTGTGTGAAGAGCTGCTTCTGATTTTAGGGGAGGAAGATGAAGGAGAGGGCAAGAGTTTGGAAGGAGGGGTGCGCATGCACGTGCGTGTGCGTGTGTGTGTGTTGTGCGATCTGGAGTTTGAACTGGAGCAGGGACAATAATGACATCTTACCAATGTCATTGTTGTAAGTGTCGCCATCGAATTCCTCATGGACAATGAGTTTTTCTACTTCAAATTTCTGCTCTTCCTTTCCAGGCTCCAACCGGTATGTTCTGCCCAAGACCACCTTAAGGTGGTGGAGAGCAAACCTAATGGGGAAACAGTCTTAGGACGGTCTTCTTGCTGTGAGGTTTCCTCCAACCGGCCTGGTTTCAAGGCCTCGGAGGGTAGGAAAACCTGCTGGGCTTTCTAAGTGCCTACCTCTCCTGGAAGCAGTGGGCAGCGGACAGCACCCAGCAGGAGCTGATCAGTATCCCCCCACACAGGAACCTCTCTCCTGGCGACCTCCTGTTCTGGATGAAGATGGCGGCCTGCCACGGATGAGAGGTGATGTCCGTGAAGAGCCCTCCTTTAATGCGAAACTGAGGCCGCGTGTACTGTCTCAGGCCACAGGTGGCTGGGTGAGGAAAGGACAGAGAAGGGAGAGAAGATCTGTGGTCCTGCGGTGACGTCCTTCAGCACCCTTCTTGATTTCTTCTCTTGGAACCCTGGGTTGCTACAGGCTTCCTGCAACTCTACAGGTTGGCACAGTGTCATATAACAGTCTCCATGGTGATAAAAACCACAGCTTTCATTTGTTGAGTACGTGGTACATGCCAACTGCTGTATATACACCATCTGTGACCCTCACAACAATGAACCTCAGAGAGGGTGAGAAATTTTTGCCCAAGGTCACAATGGCACCTGGATTAGAACCCAGATCTGTCAAAATCCAGAACTGGGATCTTTCTGCTATGCTTCATTGCCTCTAGTATTTTCCTGCCACCACTTCCTGGTTTAAGAAATAATGAAACATTGCAATTTCCTCCTGGGGAATGTCTACCCCATTTCTTTTCCATCTATTCAACCTTACCCATCCTTTGGGCCCAGGTGAAATCCTACCTCCGTATGAAGCATTTTTTAAAAAGTGTATCTTTATTGATTTCAGAGAGAGGAAGGGAGAGGGAGAGAATGAAAGATAGAAACATCAATGATGAGTGTCATTGATCAGCTGCCTCCTGCAGGCCCCCTACTGGGGGTCGATTCCCCAACCCAGGCATGTGCCCTGACTGGGAATCGAACCGTGATCTCCTGGATCCTAGGTAGATGCTCAACAGCTGAGCCACACCTGGCCGGGCCTCATGAAGCATTTTTAACACCCCCAGCCCACTAGGTTCTGAGCAAGCTTACTGACATCACTCACTGAGGACTCACTCCACACAACCTTGGTTGTGAGTTAACTGATAATTTGTGTCTCACTTGCCCAGTTAGACTCTGTGTTTCTAGAGGAACACTCTGGCTGATCTGTGTACTCATAGGAACTGAGTAATAATAATCTATTCTCAGACAACTTCCCGTGCATGGGAAGTGGATATCTGCCCAAGAGTGTTACCACCTCACCCTTGCTTTAGTCATGGAAGCTCCCTCCCCAACAAGGCCTGACCTCCCAGGAAATCTGGCAGCTACACAGTCTGAACCGGACAGCTGTGAAGATGCAGGAAATGGTATGGCAGAGGAAATGATCAAGAGGGACAAGGCAGTGAGGCTGGGCAAAGGGAGGTGGCCAAGGGAGGGCCCTTACAGCACTGGGGAATGTCACAGTATTCCCACGTCAGCTTGCGGTCCTTCAGCACATGGCACCAAGGTTTGGTATCCCCATCTGGATTCCTAGATGATAAAGGGAGTTTAAAGTTTTAAATCACATTTTCAATCACATCTCAAACCATGGAAGAGGAGAAGGGGGCTCAGTGAACCAATGGCAAAAACATTGAGCTAGGAAGGAGGGTCCTGAGTTCTGGACTTGTTCTGTCAGAGACCCCACCATAGGAAAACAACTTTAACTTTAGCAACACGACATGCTCATCTCATAGGGTCCTTCGGAGGCACTGTGAGCTGTGCTGTGAGGAAACTCCTGCAGTTCGTTGGAATAACAGTGCCATGTGAGAGCAGAGCAGATGAGGACTGAACGGCAATGGGACAGGACTCTAACTTGGGATTTGGGTTGAAAACCTGGTGGACTTTGCTTTTCATAATAGGTGTTATTTTAGCAAATGAATAGGTTGGACTAGATAATAGCCATGGTTCCTTCCCACTCACTGGGTCTTTCGTATAACTTTAGGCATCAACTCTTCTCCCATCCCACGCCCCAATCTTGTCCTTTGCCCAGACCGGAGCCCCTCTGACCCTGTGCTACATACCGGCAGTAATTGTGTTTGCCCAGGCCCAGTGTCTGGGCGTTGCTCTTCCATGCTGTGTTAATTTTGCCTATTAGGATCATGGAATTCCACAGGAGGCAGGAGGCACCAGATGTGGTGAGGCTGTGGGTACCACGGTATGCTAACCCTTTTCCAGTGTAGCAGTCCCCATTTTTTTCTGGAACAGAAGAAATCTCAAACTGAAACAAAACCAATAAAATGCTAAAGCAGGCACATTGAAGTGTGCAACAAGGTTTGCAATGGAGCTGGTGGCCTGACCTGGGGAGTTGAAGGCAGCCAGCCTGCCAGTGAGAAGGGTGTGATACCATCCTACCTCCCCCTTTTCTTCTCTTCAAGCCCTTTTTAAAAAATCCTCACTGGAGGACATTTTCATTGATTTTTT